GGAGACTCATTTGCATCTTCACGGCATGTCAGCGTATGAGCGCAAGCAGACCTTGGTCTTCTTCCGTCTGTATTCTCCCTGCTTATAACACGGACGCTCCCCAGTTTTAGCGCAGTTGGAAAAACATTGATTAGGCTCGAGAAAACTCAGAATTTTCGGTGCCCCCCGACCTCTGGACTTTCGTCCCTGGCTTTGTAGATATCGTATGATAGATATCGTATCGTAGATGTAGATATCGTCCCTTGGCTTCTGGGAGCGAGGTGGGCTCTCGAAACTGCTGTAACATAGGAGAAGGAGCCCTCCTGGTATAAGACGAGCATAACCACTAGCCAGTTGGAGAGAAAAATAAAGACACTGAGAGGTAGAATTACGGTCGGCGATGTTCGACCGTGACTCCAGGACTATGGTCCAGAGGGACCCCGGCGCTCCTATTGGTGAAGTGATCTTGTGGTAGTGCTCACACTTGCTGCATCCATCCCATATAAATCTCGCATATCGAGCGCTGAAGCTCACGAACCGGGGGTCCGATACAATGCTCAACAAACTGAGTTACGAGAGACTTTGAAAATACTTTCGCTTTGACTTATATTCACGTACGAGCACAGCTGGACGCTGATTTGACTGCATTGCGTTCACCACGTCAAATCAGCATATGATACTGAGCGCACGTGAAGACACCATCATGCGATGGCACGGAGCCACGTCCCCCCTCCCCCATCCGTCCGGGGGGCGGCCGGACCGGACGTTGTGGGTGATAACGCGCTGTGCCACCGACCGTCGAGACGAGGCCGGGTGAATCGGGACTGGCCAACGATACCCCACGACGTCGCCGTGAATGCCAACACTCGACACACACCGGCAAATGCAGGACGGTCGTAGTCACGCCAAACCCAAGATTCTGCCATGGCAGCAATCGTTTGGGACAGAATGCACGATGAAAGGGCCGGTGTCCTTTACCAATGTCGATCATTCAGTCATTGATTTAATCAAGGGTTGCCGTAATCAACCCTCGCCCGTATCGGTGTTTAGTTAGCCACGAACGTATAAGGGGGAAGGGGGTCCATTGGACCCCTCCCCCCTCATGCCGTTTCTTCGCCCCTGATCGAGCTAGAGCTTCGCGGAAAAAAACGAGCGTTTTGCCCGTGACGAGAGGAAGCCGACGATACCTAATTTTAAGGTCCTAGGTCATTGGTTGACCTTCCAGGTCAAGCCAATGACCCAAAAGTCGGGAAAATCGGGACCTGTTAGAACGTCGTAAAGTGTGGCTGCCATGTTTTTTTCGGGGTGCTGATCACGAATAGCATGTTAGTTTTGATCACAGATAATGTCTTCATGTATTTGGGCCAGGTCGTGTCAGGTCAGGTCAGGTCAACCAGTAGGGGTCGTGACGGGTATTCGTAGTACGTGTCAACCGCCTCTGACAGCTTCGTAACATGTCACGAAGGCACCAAAACAGCTTCGTAATTGTTCAAATGGTTGCGAATTTCGATTCCAGCTTCAAAAACTAGCCTAGAAACATGTTAAACTCGAAAAAGTGAATCGAAGTCATCAAAGGACAATGACCTGACCTGACCTTCAGGTGACCTTGACACCCACCCTGATGCATGGGACTAACATCATATCACATGTTTGAATGCTTGAAACCACGAAAAGACTGCAAACGCGCGGCTAATGCGAGCCGACATACGCTGAATCGCGATTCCGGCCAAACATGTTCTCGAAAAGTAGCTAACAGATCAAAGGTCATTTAGGTTAGGGCATGAAATTTTCAGGGTAGGGTAAAATTGATAAACGCGAGGGCACGGAAAGTTTTGTCGCGATCGGCTACTTTTTACGCGAGTTATTAGCGAAAAAAAAACGAGGGGGTCCCTTCACTTCCCCCTCCCCCTATATGGGCGAGGGTTAGGTTTCAAAGAAACACTTAAAACAATGACAAAATTTAAGTAATGAATTTGAATTTAGTACCTATCATACCTATACCTATTCAAAACAATAAACTACAATGAGTGACATGGCATGATATTTTTAGCATAAAAATTATAATCTATATTTCTACCAGAGATCTCTTGAGGCACCTGATAAGAATGAGAAGCTCAGCAGAAACTTTTTGCCTTTTTTTTAAATAAATTTAGTCCGAACTTTTTGATGGGAAGGATTCACAAGGACAGAGCCACCGCTAAGCGAAGCTTGTTGCGATGACCCTGCCCTCTACCCTCCGATCGCGCAATTCCGATTCTATGGCAGAATTTAGAGTCCAAAGTTTAACGTGCGCACAAAGCCGCGCACGGCCGGTCCCCTCGCTGACTTCACCTGGCTACGGCCTGCCACCAACCGCAACCATACCTGTCAGGAGGCCCATAAATATCGAGCGCCCGTCGCGCTTCGAACCCGGACTGTCATAACCGGGAACGCGCGCTCTCACCACGCGGAGTCCAACGCTCTAACCAACTGAGCTACGGGACCGGCCTTTATTTGTCTTACTAGGAACCTTGATACATGCATAATGAAAATGCAACTTTTATTAGTTTCACCTCACAATAAAATGCATGACAGGCAGACTCACTGTTGGTATCTATATGAATAATTCATTTTTATTTCATTTTTCAGTTTATCAGTTCACAGTTTATCAATCAAAACCAGAGAAGAAGAGCAAAATATTATTGCTCATCAACAATAATGAGGGATAATAAAATATATATCCATGTATTTATTTTATTGATATTTTGAAGGTAACATGAATTTTTAAGACAAAATTTAAGAGGTATGTGTGAAGCTTGAATCAATTAAAAATGCTGATAGGGTAACAAAATTAAAGGGCTGCAGGCAGGGCTGCGGAGTCGGAGTCGGAGTCGGAGTCGGTCGGAGTCGACAGTTGTGACCGGAGTCGGAGTCGGAGTCGGAGTCGATTTTAGAAACCCGAGCTGGAGTCGGAGTCGGAGTCACCGAAAATCTGTCGACTCCGCAGCCCTGCTAGGTTTGCGGAGTCGGAGTCGGGAGTTGGAGTCTGTCGGAGTCGACAATTCTGCCCGGAGTCGGAGTCGGAGTCGGAGCTGGTTTTTGAAAGCCGGAGTCGGAGTCGGTGTCGCCGAAAATCCATCGACTCCGCAGCCCTGGCTGCAGGAGTAATATGATGTCAAAAATCCTATAAGGAAATGGTGTAAGAGCAATGCTGACTGATAAGGAAATAATTCCTCACCCTTTCCAGTTACTGAAGTATTGAATCACCTTGCCCCGGATCTGTTAAAAATGGGATAATTTCACCTTTTCAACCTAATAATTTTTATGCAACAATTTACAAAGCACTTCTGCTCTTTATCCTTCCCTGAGCTAAAACTGTTCTGAGAGCCCGTCTCGCTCCCTGTCCCTGTGTTGGTCAGCTGAAAACAAATATGGAGGACATTTGCAGTGATGCAGAGCAATACAAAGTAATGAAAATCCCTCAAGCCACCTTGAAGCAACAGGGGACAGCTAACAAGCTACACTACCTGGTAACAAAATGAATTAGGTACCTACCTATCAGGAATTGAAACTAAACATCAGTTTGACTATAGAGTTTGAATTGGAAATAACAGCTGAAAATGGGCAATCTGTACAGAAAACATGCAACCATTTTCATATATCAATAGTGATTATGTTCCCACATATTAAAAACATTTTAAGCTGTTATATGAACAATATTAATATTGGCTGACTAATATCCCACTTTGATTTAAGTCTTCAAACTGCAAGCAATAATGAAGTAAAATTTAACACTTTGACTTACGTGGGCTCCTGCAGTCTGCGCACACATCGTTGCCAGGTAACCGGGAAATCTCCAATATTCTCGCGTTTTGATCACTCATCACTAATTCTGGAGAGCTCCAATCAGGGTATATTGAATCACAAGAACTTGCAGAGGACACCTCGAAACCCAAACTACCATTCACGGTCACGGTTTTGGTTTAGGCAATAGGCACCGAGGCGCTCAGCTGCACCGCTAGGAGAGCAGACCAAAATTGATAGATTTAAGTGAAGCAATAAGCAACCGAAGGGGTGCAACCACAATAAAATTAAAGCTAAATTCACAGATTCACTGCTCTGCCTCTGATCAAGCACAGACAATGCACACAGACATCGGAGAAGTTCACGAAACAAATGATTGCGAATGAATGAAAGCGAGATCAACGTTGCCGAAATTCAGTATGTCAAATAGGCTTTTATTTTCGGATCGCTTTGGTATTTTGCTGCCATATTTGAAGGAAAACAAGGACTATGGTAAAGCTTTTTATGTATATTTATTTTCATCGCTTTGTCATCAACTGCATCGTTATTGTAGCGTAATCGGTAACAATAAATATTGATTATAGATTGATGAATATCGATTGGTGACGAAAATATATTGGATTGGAACTTTCGATTCGATTGTTGACGAAAATATGCAAATGCGTATTGCGTATGTGACCTTGACCTGTGACCTTTTTCTCAAGGCCGATCAGCCTAGAGTGAAACAACGAAATAACTTCTAAATGCCGGATGATAAGAATTCGGGGGAGACATTGGTCTGGGCAGGCACCCTGGTGACCCGTCGGGGATGAGCCCGTCCAGTGGACATGGGCCACCCAGACCCCTGACGGTCACCGCGACCGGCAACGGGTCTTCTGCTCCTAGGTTGGAGACTGGAGCTACCCGCATAGGAAGGATACAGGTGCCCATCCAGCCCGGAACAGGGGATGGGGGCGTGAAGGAGAAGGATTTGACTATACCTACCGAGGATGAAGAAACGACGGAACTGAGGTCATACTTCACCGCAACATTTTCCTAAACACTATACCTGCCTAAATAACTCAGATACCTAGGTGATTAGAAACCAGGCGTTCGACCATTCAAAACATCTCCTTACCCGCCCCAAACCTCGGCACAATCGGCAGTCTATTTACGCCCGTACTCGAGCCGCCCCCTATCGGTCGTCGTCGTCGCCCGTTTGAAGTGCTGTGACCTCGAGCGGGGTAGGTAGTTGAGAGGCGAGTCGCCGGGCCGACGGCCACCGTGACGCAGCAGAACAGCGGCCGTTTGCGTGCTGTGCAGCAGCCAGACGGCCGCAGTTGGCACCGCCGCCCAGCGTTGGCCGGTGTGCGGCGGTTGAGCGCAGAAGTGCACCCTGCTGACGCCATCATGGTAAGAAGCTGGCATTTCGGCGGGGAACGGGTCAACTCATGTGTATGTCGTTGATGTTGATGCATGGTTGTCGTTGGTCAGTGTTTTACCTCATACCTAAATGCACATGCATGCCTTTTTAGCGGGTTCGGTTGGACTGTAGCGGGCCGTATTGGGTACGGACGTTAGGTGTAAGTGGCACAACTCAATCGATTCATTGAAAATACAGCCTAATTACTGGTTTATTTGTGATATGGATCAATAATGTTCGAATTTATCAATAGCAATACCTATTTATTGCCATGTCATGCCCATTTCTGAATTTACAGTTCAGCTTTTAAAATGTTTGTTTGGGTGAAAAGATTTACACACAAGTTACAGCCGCAAAGCTCGCCAAACAAAGGTTATCGTGCCGTAACGACTATGTAATAGCTCGGGAAATGATGACGTTAATAGTTCTTTTCCCGTAATGTGACGAGTTAATGAACGTGCAGTGTGAGAGGATAAATCAGCAGCTACGCTTGGGTTGTGTCCCACGTATGTTTGATTTCTTCGATGATCGGAATCGTCTTGTAAAACGGCATTATACGGCCAACCAATAGCATCTCTCCTCTCCTTATAGCGGGCAGACGGTTTGTCAAGGGGCGTGGCTTGGGTATGGCTGGTCACGTGTCTGCTGGCTAGTGGGATGAGCTCGGACAACGGCAAGTTGTGTGCCGGTCGCCGGAGGGTTGGTCGGTCACGTGTCCACTGGCTGGTAGGAGGAGCTCGGACTGCGATAGTCGGATAAACTGAAGGGTCAGCCACCCAACGATGTTGAACTTTGTACCCGGTGTGTCCGTTCACATATCGCTTTGTTTGTTTAGCGAGCTCTTCACGATAGGCGTGGGGGGGGGGGGGGAGATAGTGTGCCCGTACACTAGTCCAAAGTCATGTAAGTGAAAAGGTACCTACATAAGCTACAATACAAGAAATTGAATGACATTTCAGCAAATGTGCTATTCTATTTTATCCCTACTCGATCGATAGGTAATCGATTAAAAAACTATGGACAATGGCCCTATTACCGACTGCCATTGTGTTCTGAAAGTATAGGTAGTTAGGTATATCAAGGGCTCTTAGACATTATGCTGTGTTTGAGCCCTTGCTGACGTTCTCCGAGGAATTAATGTGCTTTTAAATCCTGCTGGTAATGTCCCGCACTGATCGTTGTCCAGTTATGTATACGGCCCTCCAGCAAAAGAGTGGTTGGTTAGCCCATGTGCTTTTGGTGTAATAACTTTGAATGATAGACACTCCTGTGAAATGACTCAATATAGAAATGAGAAGAGGGTTCGTGCGCACACTTCGGCAATGGTTTTCAACAGCCATTAGACCTATTCATCAATGCAGATCGCTTATTGTGATGTTGGCAACCAACCACTAAATATCTGGAGCAGGGCCTATTTTAAGACAATTTGACTGGGGTGGCCAGGCAGTGGTGGCGCCCCTGTCTCTTGTGTGCCCCCCCCCCCCACCGAAATGCTGATGTGCGCAGCATTTCGATGGGGGGGGGGGGCGACACAATCGAGTCTCAGAATCTTTTATTTGTGACGGTAGTACGTAAGGGCTAATGTTTCGGGAAAGTGTCTGGAGGCGTTTATTGGCATAGTTTTTTTTTCTAACATAGCCCTTTCGGGCGCTGCATGGAAAGAATTCAGCCAAAAGTCGGCTGTGCATGGTGCAACCCCCTTTCGTCAGAGAACTTTTACTGCTTATGCCGATGGCCCTAAAATCCCCCCCCCCCGATCCGTCCATGATAAACAAAACACCTTCCCATCCCAAGGCAGCGGCGTCACTCGAGGTCACTTAACCGGTCGCCAGGATAGGGGAGGGGGGTCAAACGGACCCCTCTCGGTTTTTCGCGAATAACTCGCGTAAAAAGCGACCGATCGCGACGAAACTTTTGGTACCCTCACGATAATCAATTTTACACCTACCCTGAAAATTTTATGACCCTGACCCTAATGACCTTTGACCAGTGACCTACTTTTCAAGACCATGTTTGGTCGGAATCGCGATTCGGCGTGTCGGCTCGCATTAGGCGCGCGTTTGCAGTCTTTTCGTGGTTTCAAGCGTTCAAGCATGTGATATGATGTTGCTCCCATGCTAGCATTAGGGTGGGTGTCAAGGTCACTGGAAGGTCAGGTCAGGTCATTGATCTTTGATGTCCTCAGTTCACTTTTTGTAGTTTTACTTGTTTCTAGGCTAGTTTTTGGAGCTGAATTCGAATTTAGCAATCATTTGAACATTAACGATGTAGTTTTGGTGCCTTCACTACATGTTACGAAGCTGTCAGAGGCGGTTGCCACTTACTACGAATACCCGGCAAAACCCTTACCGGTTGACCTGACCTGACCTGACCCGACCTGGCCTAAATGCATGAAGAATCATCTATGATCATAACTAACATGATATTCGTCATCAGCACCCCGAAAAACCCCATAGGAGCCACCCTTTACGACGTTCTAACAGGTCCCGATTTTCTCGACTTTTGGGTCATTGATCTGACCTGGAAGGTCAACCGATGACCTAGGACCTTAAAATTGGATATCATCGGCTTTCTCTCGTCACGGGCAACACGCTCGTTTTTTCCGCGAAGCTCTAGCTCAATCAGGGGCAAAACGGCAAGGTGGGGGGTCTAACGGCCCCCCCCCCCCCTTCCCCTATACGTCCGCGGCTGGAAAAACACCAATACGGGCGAGGATTAAACCGCCGCCCGCCAGATTTTTCTCTTGGAAATACCCTCGTCAGAAGCAATGCGTGCACGTGCGTTTGAAAATCCGCAGTTGATCACGCGGCCAGTCTCAAAGCCACATCACAATTCAATTTTGCGGCCAATATCTCGCCACGCCACTGCCTCGAGACGCTCTCCAGATTTTGAAGAGCTTATGGCTCTGTAATGCCAAGAAAGATGCATTGGTGACCACTGACCAGTGTTGTAATTTGTATATTGCTATTTGTCATCGATGCGCCATTGATACCTCAACCGAGATATCTTCTCAGTTGTGGTAAGGCGCCTGAATAGTAGGACAATCCAGTAGCGGTATGGCGTCCCTGAGGGGCGCCCCAGTAGTGACAGGGCGCTCCAGTCTCGGTAGGGCGCCCCAGGCGTGACGGGGCACCCCTCAGTAGTGTAATGAAGCCCCAGTAGCGGCATTGAGCCCAAACAGCGGTGGGCGATCCACTGGTTGTAAGGCGTCTCAGTTGTGGCATAGCGCCCCAGTAGTGGCAGTAAGGGCGAGTTAGTTACTTGACTTACTGCTAGAGTAAATGCGCCCCAGTAGTGGTACGGCACCTCAGTTGTGGTAAGGTGCACCCGTTGTGATAGGGCGCCCCAGCTGTGTCAGGGCGCCCAGTGATGGTAGGGCGCCCCGGTTGTAGCAGGGCGCCGGAGTAGTGGTAGGGCGCCCAAGTAGTGGTGGGCGCCCCAGTGGTGGTAGGGCGCCTCGTGGCGGTAGGGTGCACCAGAAACTTAGGGCGCCCCAGCACCAGCGGAACGTCACAGTAGTGTTACGACGCCGCAGTAGTGGTACGGCGATTTCTGATAGGGCGCCCAAAGGTGGTTGGCGCCCCAATCGTGTCTGGGCGCCCCAATGTTGATAGGACACTTCAGTCGTGGTAGGCGCCCAAGTGCTGGTAGGGCGCCCCATTGCCGGTAGTGTGTCCCAATCGAAGTAGGGCGCCACAGTTGCACTTGCGGCAGGGCACCCCCAGTAGTGAGAGGGCACCCCCATTGGTGGTGGTGGCGCCTCAGTGAGCCCTTTTCCCCCTGTCAAGCTGAGTTGCGCCCCAAGAATGTGTCGCATCCGTGATTGTCGGCAGCCAATATATGTGGGCGGACTTTTGGGCTGTTTTTCACTGGGGTGGCAAAGTAAGACGACTGGGGTGGAAAACCGCACCACTGCACAGTGGGGATTTTTCCGATCTAGCACGTATTTATTCGTAGAGGGCAAACCATAGGTAGAATTGTAGCCAGATTGTGCACAGATGTTGGCTGGTGTGTCCTGGTGAGAGTTTTACCTGTAAATGTGCATAATCAACATAGTATAGGGGGTTCAATTGGACCCCCCGCTCAGCCGTTTGGCCCCTGATCAAGCTAGAGCTTCGCGGAAAAGTCAAGCGTGCTGCCTATGACGAAATTAGGCCGAATATATCCAATTTCAAAGTCCAAGGTCATAAGCTGACTTTCCAAGTCAGTTTAATGACCCAACTAAAGTTGGGAAATCGAGACCTCTTGAAACTTCGCAAAGTTAGGGTGCTACGGGGTATTTTGGGGTGCTGATCACGAATTGCATGTTAGTTTTGATCACAGACGATGTCTGTAATATGCATTTAGGCCAGGTCGGGTCAGGTCAGTTCAAATATGTGATCAATTAGTAGGCGTCCTGCCGGCCATCCATAGAAGTGTCACCTACTACTGATAGCTTCGTAACATGGAACGAAGGCACTAGAACTACTTCGTAAATATTCAAATGGCTGCTAAAATCGAAATCAGCACCAAAAACTACCCTAGAAACAAGTAAAACTCGAAAAAGTGAACCAAGGTCATCAAAAGGTCAATGACCTTGACTTGACCTTCACGTGACCTTGACTCCCACCATTATGCATGGCACCAACATCATTTCACATATTTGAACGTTTAAAACCACAAAAAGACTGGAAACCGCGGATAATGTGAGCTGGCATACGCCGAATCGCGATTCCGGCCAAACATGGTCTCGAGAAATATGCCACAGGTCAAAGGTCAGTTGGGTCAGAGTCATGAAATTTTTAGGTTAGATGTAAAATTGATGATCTCGAGGGTACCGAAAGTTTCGGCGCGATCGGCCGCTTTTTACGCGAGTAATCTGCGGAAAACCATGGGGTTTTATCCGACCCCTTCCCCCTCCCCCTCCCCACAAGTACGATGGTTAATAAGGTTACGGTATGTATAATTTACGCTTGTCATCCTATTCCTAATGAATGTGTCTCAGAAAATATGCATCATATAAATCACGAAGTAAAATTATTCGCCTATGTCCGGAACATACCTATATCGTGCTGTTTGCCCTAGCGCTCCTCGAGTGGGGTGTTAAGATACTCTAATGTGAATATTCCGTGCTCAGGCAAGTTTCGGCAGCCAAACTAGGCGTTGTCTTGTGCAGAAGAAAGTGGCGAATTCGATAGGATATATTTCGGAGTGGAAAAGTGTGGAGAACATTGTTGATTTCCTACATTTATTTAGAATACCATTCCTTCAATATGGTGTCTGTAAGGGTTTTTTGTAAAGGGCATTTTTGTGACCTTAGTAAGGTTGTGGCATACTTTCTGTTTGCCATTCCATCCCTAATAAAGGTGCCTTTCAGATGATATGCAACTTTAAGACCTCGCAAGATTAAAACCAACAGGACAGGACAATGAAATTGAGCTATACTTTCGGGCCTTGCTGAGCCCATTGAGTAATCACGCATGAGTGTGAACTTTGGGCGCATTTTTCCTAGTTTTGCGTGGACATACAGATAAAACAATGCCATATATGAAAAATTCAGACATTTCTTAGCCCTACTGACACAAAAAATTAACAAAAATCCAAAAAATATTTTTTGAATTAATAGGCGCTAGATCGGAAAAATCCCCACTGTGCACTGGGGTGGGTTTTGCCACCCCAGTTAACATGTTAAAATAGGCCCTGATCTGGAGGGCCGTACATTACAGACGTGATTTGTCTTTCCCACAGGGTCCGTCTCGCTCCGTCAGTGTGGCGGTGCTGCTCCTCTGTCTGGTGATTGGCGGAGAGGCGGCCCGGATACTCATGCTGGTTCCCATTGGCGGAAAGTCGCAGAAGAACGTCTTCTACGGCCTCGCGTCCGGGCTGGTGGAGCGGGGTCATGATGTCGTCTTCTTCAACGGCTTCAAGCCTTCCACTCCCGTCAAGGGCGTTCGCGAGGTTGTGCCCGACGAGCTGGCGAGGATCTTCTCCGATGAAAATCTGCCCAACATGTTTAAGATGAATGAACGGGGCATGCAAGCGGGTCTGAAGCAGTTCTTAACTTTCTTTTCGGATGGACCTCGAGCGGCTTTGGAGAGCAAAGAACTTGACCACCTTCTGAAAGAGAAATTTGATCTAGTCGTGTTTGGTGGGTTCTCATACCCACTGTATTTTGTTGCACATGTTCTGAAGACTCCATTCATTATCCTAGTTCCGGTTTCCTACTTTCCTATCTTTATGAGTCCTATGGGAAATCCGACTCTTCCGGCAATAATTCCAACACCATTCGTCATGAGCACGGATAAAATGACCTTCATGACGCGTGTGAAGAACGTCATGAGCCACTTCTTCTTGGATATTGTATTCCGGAGAGGATTTTCATTCTACAGCGACCGTCTGATCGCTGAGAAGTTCGGTCCCGGAGTGATGCCTCCTGTGCTAGACATAGAAAGAAACGCTAGTCTTCTGATGCTCAGCAGCAACCCAGCTATGGATTACCCGAAGGCCCTCCTTCCCAACACCATTGAGGTTGGAGGCATGCATTGTGCTGAACCGAAGCCACTGCCAAAGGAGTTGACCAGCTTCCTCGGTGACTCAGAGTTCATCTTCTTCAGCTTGGGCTCGGTGGTGAGACCTCAGGACATGTCTCCGGAGCAGAAGGCATCCATCCTCGCCGCACTCGGCAAGCTACCCTTCAAGGTTCTCCTCAAGTGGGACACAACAGACCGCGCCGGACTGCCCGCCAACATCCTCCCCTCCAAGTGGCTTCCGCAGCAGGACATCATCGGCAGCAGCAAGTGCCGACTCTTCGTCACCCACGGCGGTTTCGGCAGTCTGGTGGAGTCTGTGTGTCACGGTACACCCCTCCTTGTCCTCCCCGTAACTGGCGACCAGCAAGGCAACGCCATCACCGCCGAGAGGCTCGGTATGGGAGAAACCCTCACCTGGGACCGTCTGAATGCCGACACCCTGAAAGCCTCCATCGAGTCGGCCATGTCTTCGGAACGCCTCGCCGCTGCGCGGTACCGACAACGTCTGATGAGGGAGCAGCCGGTTTCTCCGCGTCATCTTGCCGTTCACTGGGCCGAGCACGTCATCCGGCACGGCGGCGCGCCGCATCTCCAATCCGTCGGCGCCGAGCTCAACTTCTTCCAGTACTACTCGCTGGACGTGCTGGCCTTCCTGCTGGCCGTGCTGCTGCTGGCGCTGAAACTGCTGGTTGCCATGGTGAAGTGCTGCTGTCGCTGCGTTTGCGGACGGAAGACCAGTCAGGAGCCTCCGAAAGAAAAGTCTAAGGGCAAGCGTGCTAAGAGCGATTAGTGCCCTTAAAGGGACCCTCCCACCTTAACATTAGATTTGAGTTGAGATAGCCAAAATAGGGTCCCTGGCTCACAATTACCGGTTTCGGCACTCACAACATCGAGAAATGCCTTAAATCGGAAATATTGAATTTCAAAATTGCAGCATTTTGATTCAGAGGGGCTAATGCATAGGAATACCCCTCTGAATGTGTGACGTCAGCGCAGATATCTAACGATTTTTAAATGTTTGACTAAAACGTTTTGTAGCACGCAGTGGTATATGCTGCTTTGCGCGCAACAAGTGCCGCACTTTCAGCTGCAAAACTATTGCTTCCAAATAAAGTCGCTAGGTACAGCGGAGATCCCAAAAAGTAAACAAAAGTAAAAGTCTAATATCTTGAAAACCGGTGAATATTTTTCGGTGAAATTTGGTAGATATTCGTTTTCGCTCTTTCTGAACCGAGCGACATCACTTTCATGCCAATTCATAAACTTTTTTGAAGGTGGGAGGGTCCCTTTAAAGTTTGTGCTTGGGTTTGTTACGTCGTGGCAGCAATTTGTGTCTTTGAATGTGCGCCTTTTACCTGTCAGAAACAACGCTGCCAGTTAATTATGGACAGTTGGATGGCTGGACGGGTGATTTGCCGATGATTGCTCAGTGTGTTCGTGCTGGTGTTCGGTTTTATACCTGAGTGCTTATGCGGCGTTTTTGATTCGCGATCACTTTATTCCGTGTCTTATGTTCTTTCAACCTCGCTTCAACTGCTGCTGGTGCAAAAATTGCATTCGTGTGTGTTGTGCGTATTATCAGATTTAGACGATATAAACGTCACAGTGATTCCTTGTGGTCATTTTTTTTCACGACTTTTTCATCGTCGAAAAAATTAAACGTTACGTCTCGGTAGCCGTCGGGACATCCGTGAGCGTTTGCAGCATCGATCGCAAGGTGGCGTTGGCATCTTTTGTGGGAACAACTAGATGGCGTCGCGACATAGCAGAACAGACATAAGGGCCTCGGTTGGACCAGGCAAATTCTGCCTCACACATTCATCATGTAGATTGGGACATAACTATGTACTGGATCTTTTCGGGGAAAAGCATGTCTCTAAAAGTTTTGCTTTACAACAATTAAACATTTTGAATTAACGTTTTCCCATAAATTTCGGTCTCGTCATTTAGGTAGGTATACCTAGAGTGAGCTATTTCGTCATCTATTAGGTCTGAGCAAACACCAGGCCAGCAAAAATTATTGAAGGTCACATTTTCCCATATCCCGCGCCCCACTGGGGTCTGCGTATGACACGCCCTACTGGGGGGGGGGGGGGGGGGGGGCAACTCCGAAACTACTGGGCCGATCGTCAAAATTCAAACGGCGTCTGATAGCCCCGGGAAAACTGTCGTACGAAACCTAATTTTGTTGACCTCGAGGTCATCGATGACGTCACAGGTCAGGTCAAAGTAAAAATTATTAGCATTTTGGCTTGTTCACGTTTTGGGCTCTGGCCGCCGTCTTACAAGTCAGATCAGGCTCATTTTTGGTTCACACACTCGTGAACAGATGCTCTAGATACCCTGAGGAGTGAGGGTACCAAACTTGTACTTTGATTTTCAGGTCAAGGTCAGGTCATCACAGGTCACGAAAATATTATATCATGCGTCGGTCACGTGACACACGTTTTATGGTCCATTTAGGCCAAAGATTTCGAATTTGATGTCGTCTGTGTCATTCGAGGTCATTTTGAGTCAAATTTAGCTTAGGTCAGGTCACTTTTAGGTCAAAAAATGTCAAATTTTGAAGCTAAAAGTTTTCAACAAAAAAGGTGTCTATTAGATGCAGTTTGAGCTCAGGAACACGATGGTGCTATTTATATTGGCGGACGATGTCAAATACGTGCTGAAAAATTGATTTGAAAAATTAGTAATTATGAATTTTTTTTTGCAATAAGGCGTATAACTTGGCCATTTTTGAAGATATTTAGCTAAAACTTGCTAGAGTTGGTCATAATAATACGTTCTATTACATATATTCCAGTTTTTTTTCGAAAAGTCATAATTTTTTTGAAAAAAAAATGTAAAAATATAAAATTTGAATTTTATTATATTAAATTTTCGAAATTTTCAAAATTTAGAAAATCCGAGATTGCAGTTTAGTAGCGCAGTCTATTCTGAGTCCTCTCATGCAAAGAAATTGGATCTAGCTTAAAAACTGAGCTCTTGGGAGCGATTGCCGTGGTTCAATGTTTTGCATCGAAATCGGCCGAACATGACGTCACTCTGACGTCATTTCCGGCTGACCTATGGTAGCTACGAAGTTCATATTTTGACACAAGGTGTCAAATTGATGCTGCCGAAGGTACTGAAAGTTTAGCGTCGATACGTCAAGCGGTTTGAAAGTTATTGCAGAAAAACGGGAGGGGGCTATGAATAGGCCCCCCCAGTGGGGCGCGGGATATGGATGTTCTTGAGCAATAAGCTTACAATTTGTGCGCTAATTAAGTTACAACGTCACAAACAAATCGAAGGTGCACCTACAACGGGCTCGCTAAGTCGCATTTGACGTAGAGTCGTCAACAGTGTGGTGGCTCCCTCACGTGCTAATGAAACAATCCAGCATTTAATCCACGCAACAATCCAGCTCTCATACAGTGTCAAAAAGGACGTTTCGGTGAACACAGTTTGTATAGCCTCTCGCACCAAAAATGCACGATTTTAATTTTGCCATCACCGTGTCTCTCAGTTCTTGATCCTCAGGGCTTCAGGCCGAACGAACCATACTTTAGGTCAAGGTCATGACCTGACCAACAATGGCCACGGTGCATAACAGTAGATCCGCTCTGTTTAACTGAACTCATTCGTGATATTTTCATCTAAGCGTTTCATCTATTACCATCTAAGCGTTTTTTTTAAGACAATTCCAGCCTGCTGTTGACCTTTACCTATACATACATAACCTATCCTGACCTTTTTAAAAGAACCTATCGATCGTTCACAATACCACGGAATATATAGTCTACGACATGTCGTATATATGTATGTCGTAAACTATATATTCCGTGGCAATAGGTATGCACTATGTAGTCGCTAACAGGGGCGGATCCAGCCGATCCATTGGGGGGCGGGGGGGGGGGCAAAAGTTTCCGACCCATTCGGCGACCAGGACCCACCGCCGCGCTAGTGACCAAGCGACTTTACAACGCCACATTACATCTGCATGCATTCAGTTCAGGGAGTTATATCTACATATTATCTACCAGCCTAAATCATCAGCAGCGAGCAGTCAGATCCTTCCTTCAGAATGGTCGCCACGGAAATTCCTACTTTTTGTCCAGCAAGGCATCGACGCCGTATTAGATCTTAGATTTCTACATGTTCTGGGAGGGGCAAAGAATATCTTGCCCACACGATTTAGCTTCGGGGAGGGCAATTGCCCATTTTCCCTCCCCTGTATCTGCCACTAGTCACTTATGTTAAATATACCTAATTAAGAGCTCATGGCACTTAATTGCAAAATAAGCCTGCCCGGTGCACAAAACACATTGATCTAAGGCGTTATACGCGTTTATTCACATAATAACCATAAAAACGCCGTACACGTCACAGTGTGCTGCTGTATACATCACAGTGTGCTGCTCTTACATATTGCAGTGTGCTGCTCGTGCACACCACAGAGTGCTGCTCTTACACGCACATCACACAGGCCATTTCATTTGCCGTCAGCTAGAGACCGAAAGGAAAACCGCCGCCGCCGCCGCCGCCAAACTGGAACGGGTTCTGATTCAAACCTCCCAACCCCCCGAACAGGTTCTGTCCAAGCCCTTGAGCACCCTGTCCCAGGCCGTGCACATTCTGACCCAGGCCATGGATGTTTCCGTTGAACGCATTCTGCCCCACGCCGGGCACCCCACCGTTAAATCCTCCTTGTCCCAGATTGGAGAAAGCGGACTGTAGGGGATTCTGTAGTTGGTTTTGTAGGGGATTGTGCAGTTGTCCTTGTAGTTGATTCGGCAGTTGGCCCTGCAGCTGGTTCTGTAGGGGATTCTGAACACCCTGGTTCAGCAGGCCTCCCAGTGGGTTCTGACCGACGTTCTGCTGAAGACCACCGCCAAGGTTCTGCGGGAGGCCACCTCCGAGGTTCAGGCCTGGGATGTTCGGCAGCACACCCTTACCCCGGGTACGCTGCGAGCTCTGAACCCTCTTCAAGCTGCGCACCGTGCCTTTCCCGTTATTCTCTTCCACACTGTAAGCCACGTGATCCTTTTCAACCGAGTTCCCCTTGCTCCTGACACTGTCTACCGTACCGGATGCCACTCTATGTTTCGCTCTTTCCGCTGCCTCTACCTTCTGTCGTTCCTTGTCCACAGGAACCAACTTCGTTTTTCCATCCACAGTGCTCAGCTCAAAGACCTCAGTTCTGCTTTTCGACGCCAGTGTCTCCTTCGAAAGTTCGGGGATCTCGAAGGAAATCACTTTGCGCTTGTCTCCGTCACCGACCGGTGAAATGAGTTCGATCCTGGGCCGAGGGGTGCTGACCGTTGTGGGAGTAGTGGCAGGTGTGGTCGTGGTGGGTTGCGTGGTGGGTTGAGTGGTAGGAGCCGGTGTCGGAGGCACAGGAGTCGTTGGGGGCTCGGTCCTACGTTCCACAATGCCGGGCACCACATAATAGGTCCTCTGTCTATCATCATGCGGGTAGGACTGTACGGTTGGCATACTTTCAAATGAGACCTGTCCAGGGTAAGGCTGTGGATTAGCCATGCTGACAAAGTCTGTTCGACGGTCCCTGTCCTCCGATGGGAAGTAATGGGGCCGCTCCACACTGTCAAACGGCATCCGTTCGGGGTGTCGCTGAGCACCAGGAGCACTCACAAACGCTGGTCTCTCCTGTGCTGAGTAGTACCGGGTGCGATCTCCATGTTCCACACCACTCACGGGCATCCTTTCCGGATGGCGTGAGCTAGAGAACTCAGTCATATGTGGCCGACTGTCAAACGGAACTGTGTCGTGTCTCCGGGTAGGACTGCTGGACATCGAATACTCAGGGCTGTGATGAGTATTTTCCGGTCCGAAATACTCCAGACCAGTGTCGTGATGTGAGCGATCCGATCTATGAGAAGCGGGGGAGGAAAACTCATCCATGTACCGTCGCTGCTCAATGGAAGTGGGTCGCAGCTCCGGCATACGATGTTCGAAGTGGCTCCTGTCTCTGTGGTGTGGGTGGTTCTCATAAGAGGGCACCTCAGGGTGACTGCGTGAAACCTCTCGCTGAGGAACCAGTAGTCCACGATCGACGGATCTGTCTGGCGACGTGAACTCGGAAGTTGGCGATCGTTCAAAGTCAAATTCGGTTCTGGACTGTCTCGTGTCTGTTGGGGCAAATTCCCGTCTGCGATGTTCGTCATGCACTGGCGTAAACTCTTCCCTGCGACGTTCGTTGTGCGTTGGGGTGTAATGTGCCGGAGGTCTGCGAGGCGACTCTTCTCTGGGAGCTGGTTCTCGTCCTCTGGATGTTCTGTCTACAGGAATCAGGTCTGGTCCCTGGTATTCCCTGTCTCTGGGAGAAAACTCTGTCCTTCTCGAGTGCGAATCAAATGGCGGGAACTCTTCGCGAGCGGGCGACCCACTACCGTGACTGTACTGAAGCTCAGTCCTGTACTTTGTGCTTTCCTGCGGCGTAAGCTCAACCCTGCGCTGGTCACCCTCCGATGGTGTAAACTCAAGCTCCGTCCTAGTTCTGGCTCGATCGAGAGTGGTGAAGTCACTTCCATACGGTGTACCTCTGTCGGGTCTTTCTGTAGGAGCTTCCCTGAAAGAAGGAGGCTCACGACGCTGTTCTGGGTGGCTTATCTCCCTCCTACGATGAACATTCTCTCTGAACTCCGGTGCGCTTCCGGTCTTTTTGAATCCAGTGAGCTCCGGCTCACGTGTCTCAGGCGGGAAGAACTCTGGACTGCTCTTCGGGCGCTCTCTCCGTTGTGGTCGCTCTCTTTGAGGCCGATCTGACGGGTGTGGCGGAATATCCCGTGAAACGGGCTCTCTGCGGGGATGTTCGGCATACCCCGGCTCGGAACCGCTAGGCGCACTGTCATACGGGGATCCAAACTCCGCCCCCGGGGCTGGCGATCCTGTGGGTGGCTCACTGGATGGGGGTGCTGGAGGTCTTCTTCGACGATCGGTACGTCGACGTGGCTTCACGCCACCTGGTGCGTCACGGGGGCTCGGCGGGGGCTTCCTGCGCGGCTCCTTCGCCGAGGCAGCTGGTGGCGGGCCCCGTGGATCAGCTGGAGCCGATGGTCCTGACGGTTCCCTTCTGGATGGCGGTGGCGGCTTTGACCTTGCGGAAGGGCCTGTCCGCGATGGCGGTGGACCTACAGGCTGCGGTCCCTCAGGGTTCGGAGACGTTGGGCTCGGCTTCCTCGGTCTCTTGGGACGATTGGGTCGCCTTCTTCTCGGCTTTGGCGCTGGCGGGGGTCCACTTGACGGCGACGACGGCGGAGACCTTGGCGGAGGCCGTGGGCCCTGTCGTCCACCATTCGGTGCACTCGGTGGCAGAGGGGACCTCGGTGGCGGCGGAGGTCGGCCATGGCCCGGCGAGCTAGGCGCCGTGTGTCGAGGAGGTGGCCGCGACATTGGAGGCCTGTGCGGCGGCAGGGGTGGTGGAGGAGCCTGTCGAGCTGGCTGTGGCTGATGGGCGGCCGGCAGCGGCTGCAGCGGAGGCTGCTGCGGTTGTGGCTGATGAGCGGCCGTCGGACCCGGTAGTGCCAGGTAGGTACCCGCCGGCTGACCAGGCGCCGGAATGGCGTAGATGACTTGTCTCGGCTGCAGAGTTGCGGTGGGTGTCTTTCCCGCACTTGCCGCCTGCGCTACCCGGCTCGCTAGAGATTGGGCCGGTGGGGCTGACTTGCTTACGGCAAAGGTAGGCGTAGCAGCCGGTTTTGGGCTGCTTGCTGCCGGCGGTGGCGAGCTGGCTGCTCCCTTGCTGGCCGCTGGCGGCGAGAGGTGTACCACCTCGGGCTTCTGGTTGGGCCTCTTGATGACGACGAAGGTGCTCTCGGAGGACACTAGGTCGGCGGACGCCTGCGCTCGCGCCACCGAGATGCATGTTCCGATCACCAGGATCAGCAGCAGCAGCTGCTGCACCGCCTGCCGGTCAGAAAAGGGAGAGAGTTAGAGTAAGACAAAACGGTAAAGTAGTAAAAGCCGCCTTTGCTAATTGCGTGGGTTTACGATGAGCACTAGCACGCAATAGTCTAAGTTGTTTTTTTAGATCTCAACGTTTCAATGATTGATGATAAACATTTGACAACATCATGGCCTTTACCGTTGACGAGGTTTAAGAAGTAATTGAACTGGCTTATGTGCCATTATATATGAAGAATGCCTTATATCTTTTGCATGTTACAAAGACCGCCGTCAACCCGTGGAAGCACCCATAACGGCTCAGTTTTTTCCTCGCCCGGTAATGCAACAAGTCACCGTTCTTCGAACGCATATTTATCCCAACTGATCTTACAATTACCTACATCACTTAGCAAAAGAACTCCGGAGTGCCAGAACTGAGCAAAGTACCAGGACTGAGCACTGAACATATGTTTCAGGCACGGCAGTGGACACACAGAGACTGGTAGTTTAGGAAGATCCGGCTGAGCGAGTCAGTCCCACGGAAGGTCCGGCCGGTTTGATATCGCTCCCACGCCGCTCCGCGCCTCCGGAGGAAAAGGATGGACCGCTTCCCGACGATGGGAATCTGTATCCAGAGGGGTGTGGAGGTACTGGTGCGTCCCCCAGGAACGGTAGATAGCAAAACTGTAGGATGTCAGATGATTCTAAGTATTGTAGCTATTACAAGAAGTGTGGAAGTGTTGCGAGCTAAATAACACTTATATCATCGCACACTGACTGCAGCTAGCTATTTTTAGCGGACTTTGTCGGATCCTATAAACATCTAAAAATGAACTACATGGCAGACCATTGCAGGTCATACTAAGCTCCCGAGTTCATGCATGAATGGTTAACATGATTAACATCATAAGGGAGCGTTTTTTAGCATCAAACTAGTTAGATTGTAAAATGAGAGCCGCATTGTTTAGATTTACTGGCCTAGAATAATAACGTAACTATGATTATTGCGCACTGTTTTGCTTTGATAAGAAATGCATGTTGGCTTGACCCCTAAATTCAATTATTCTTCAGTGCGTAGGTACTGTTTCTCCAGCCTACGGAATACCTTACATTCCTGTACTAAAATCTAGGACACCTATTGTTCTGCCTCTGCATTAACTTAGTGTGTGTCATATAAACAAACATCTCTATATAATTAATTGTTTATGTGCTTTGAAAGTATTGTATGAAGCAGCAACTAACAAAAGCTAACAATGAAACAAACTTTTTTTTGTCCATTAGAGACACAGCTACCAATTATCATGTTTGTTTGCATTTGTTTCATTTCTTCCATTGCTACCTTATTGAGGACTCCGGAAAACAGCATGCTATTTATTGTAAGATCGTTTACCTACCGTAGCTCGCTATTCAAAAGCATTATATAATATTGAACCAATGGAAATCTAGCAAATATGAGTCGGAGATCGTGACCCTATTTATGTTATAAGGAAAACAGCTACTGGACATATGCTTGAATGCTCGTGACTCGTAAGTCTTGACCGTGACCTGAATCCACAGTGCTTGTTTACAATTGCTTACCTCATTGATGCTGGCTAGGATTCAAAGAATTACTTCTCATGATTTCACAGCTACAGTTAGATATATGTGTTTAAGCATTCTATGACGAGCAAGTTATTAGAATGGTAACTTTCAAACCACTCATTTAGCCACGCTTTTCTTACATAAACATTAAACACGCATAATTGTATTTTTCATGCGCCAAAGCATGCACGATTATCCGAAAATTGTCATGAAACGATGGTATTCCTGCAAATTTTCCCTAAAGGGATCGAAGTTACCTACACATGGTTGAAATGGAATTAATCATTGAGAGTTTTGCCAATTATTTTGTCTTTTATAGGATTATTTTCACCAAAGCAATCAGAAGTTAAAATAACTGATCTTTATGGCACTAGTATTTCGCCCGCTCTTGTCAATCAGCAGTTGACGCAAACTACATTGTTTTAGACATTTACATCAATGTGGAACACGCTGAAGTTATACCGCAACTCGAATCATGCACGCTACCACTAGAGGGAAAACGGAAATGGCGCCTAACAGTCCCGGGCTGGAAGATGACTAGGAAGCTTTCCTATACCACCTGCACCATGGTGCATAGACGGGGCACTTTCCGTGTAAACTTGTGGGAAAAAGAATCAGTACAGGTCAAACGGGACAGGAAGACACCGCACCATCGGCTGGTATACTCACATGGGGCGCTATCGGACTCGAGGCCTGGTCTACATATGTATGCAATAATTTCCGAAGTAATTTCTCTCATTTTACGCAATCCAGTTTTGGTAATTTTATGACGCATTTCCTTCAGCTGTTCAGGGAGGATTGCATTCGGCTCTTTTACGTTATACCTATTCCACTTTTTTAAGTTGAGGTAATTTAAAATTGCTAATTCTGCCATTATTAGCTAGCAGATGTATGATATTTCAATAGAAAATTTACACTTTCAGGGATTTTTCTTTAGAATGGTTGGTTTCAAGTGCCAGCCTGACCTCCGAGGTCTCTGTTTGAGATGACGTCTTATACTCTAGCAGCATATTATAGGCTTCCTCTCGCGACATAAAAATGATGAGAAAAGGTCAAACATATACCCCCATTCCAAACTTGTGATATGATATCCATTTCTCCTTCGAAGCTCAACTTAGCTATAGGAACCGATCAAGTCCAACGCAACAACTTCAGCCTGTCCTGGCCTTTTTGCTATGATTGTGCCAGTGAAAACCCTTGACAGTTTATGGCTCGCCCAGTTGTCATTTCTACCCCGAAAACGATATGTGACCGGCACTCATCAGCAAGCCCCGTTGACCGTCCCTCTTACCGAACTAGCAGCGGGTCTTTTCGGCTCGTAATCAGACTTAAAAGTCGCACGACAATTAGGCTCAGACAATGACAGGAAACTCCTTTCCGTCACATTTGCCTCTTGGCGCCTCTGCCAATGTGAATCAGTGTCAGAATTATAGAAGCATCATAAAGCCAAATGCGCATTTCTCAAGACAGGATGCATACCATATCGCAATATATTTGCGTGCTCTGTAGAAAATGACCCATAAAAGCGGGAAAGCTGGTGAATCCCTCGGTGAGCTTTCTGACCATTTATCCTGGTTTCATATGGCTTACTTTAAAAAAAGATTGCATTCAGTGTTGTTTTGTTTCGTTTTGATGTTGTTTTGATGACGCTGTTGAGGTGATGAAAGGCACATACATTGTACACATTATATTGCTAAAAATGAATCATATGGCGCATATCGAGCGATGCAAAAACAGCAATGATTGTGTTAGGTAAATATATAAATGCAATTGCATTTCGTCATATAATGCAAGTAATGATTACAGTCCTAAGAAGCAATGCCCGTTTAATAATACTTTAAGTGCAGCTAGACACCATTGTGCGCCGTATATTTTTCGGGACATGTGACGTTCGCCCGTTTAGGCAAAGAACGGACCGAAACTCGGCTGAAGGCCACATCCGTAAGCTGTTAACCGGTGCCACTATGCTCATTGAGAGTCCTGAATTTCCACACTGTGCTACGTGAGGAAAGAGAAGACAGTACTCTGGTCCAACTCCTCTCCAAAGTAATGTTTTGACAAACATTTGAACTAAATGTGCACAAATGTGGGGACACACTTTAAATCATAATTGGTATAACAAGAGCGAACCAATCGTAGGCGAAAAAGTAGCATGGATGTTTATCGATGACAACATTTTAATAAAAAGTTGAAGACCAAACAATGCTCTCTATGGACAAGCGAGGCTTTACGTATATTTTAAATTAGTACTGCTTGCAATAGGAGATGTCCCCAAGCTGAAGATATGATACGATGCAAACATATCGACGTATCGACATACGTATAGGTATGTCGATATAACATATCATATGATAACGACAAACGTATAAATATATCGACCCCAGACGATATAAACATTTAAGGAAGCTTACAAAGTATCAAAAAATATTTAATACCGTTATATTTCAAAATGCCTACTAACGCTTCTGTTAGAAGCATGCAACAAGAATGTTTGATGTATTTTTATGAGCATTGGCGTATATAGTTCACATGAAGCCCAGATTCTCACATCATGTATCTCACATCACATCATGTAACTACATGTGAATCTCATCACATGTAGTTAGCTGCGCGTTTGATGCTATCATCTCGTTTGAGTTTCACCTTTTCCAGTATACTGGAAATGCCGCATCATCGAAAAGCGGCAGATGTTGCGCGCAAAGTAGCATATACCACCACGTATTACCAAAGGGTTTAGTATACGATTTAAAAATTGTTAGATTTGCGCTGACGGCACAAATTCTAAGGTGGCATTTAAATGCATTACACCTTACATAGAGCTCAAAAACTGCAGGCTTTGAAATTTAATACCTCGAAATTAAAGCATGTCTCGATGTTTTGAGTGCCCAAACCGGTATTTGCAAGCCAGGGACCCCAATTTGGCTATCTCAACCCAAAACTAATGTGATGAAAAAGATGGGATGGTCTCTTAAAGTGTCCAGGATTTGGCATATACGACGATTAGTTGCTTTGCGCTGGAAATTCTGAAACGGATACATTGGCTACAATTGGAAATTACACGATGAGAATATAAGCGAATGTGGAAATGAGTAAATTTCGAAGTGTTCCCGATATAAAAAAATGTTTTTCTGACATCGGCGTTAGTGGGGTTTCTGCCTGTTGTAAATTTTTGTAAATAAACAATAAACAATAAACGGGGATTTTTTACGGCCTCGAAATGAAATAGTTGTGTCCTTGGAGATAGTTTCATGACGCTTTGGATACCGGCTGGCGGCTATGATTGTAATTTGTGCAGCTTGAGTTTCTCATTTTAGTTCCAGGTTGATAACGATTCATACCAGCAAAGTAGACGCACGATATACTATTCTAAGAAAAATAATAAAATATGTGACAGCACTGTTGCCGCTGCTCGTCGCATCGTCCCCTCCTTATCACTTATCTTCACCATGCATCGCAAATCTAGTTCCCCGTGATAGTGTCTATTAACCGTTCATACCATTCTACCCGTTGCAGTGTTTGCCACGTATCCCGTCTCTTCCCTCGCTATTAGTTACCGTTCTCATGGCTGCAGCACTGCTCGTGGGCCGATCCAGCGGCGGTGTCACTCTGCGCCCGTCCACGGCCCGACTACGGCGCCGCTCCGGTGACTGACGCGACCACCGACCCGGGGGTGTTATATGGGCTCGGCCGGAGGCGGGACGCCCGGCGACAAACGGGATAGTGTGTGTACTGGCTGAGTGCTACGGTGAGCGTTTCGGTGAGCTAAGGCGTTCCCTGATGAGCGTTGTGTTGAGCCTTTACGGCGTGCTAGCTCTTGGTGGGTTCCTAGTGAGCTTCAGGTCAGCGCTACGAGTACGGTTGGTTATTGACGAGCGTTTTCACGTTGAGTTTCTAGGTGAACTTCAGGTGAGCGTATTAGTGAGATAGAACTAAGGCCTGGCATGAGATTCCACTACTGAAAAAGAACGCAACGTTGAAAGGCTTACTAGGCCTAGGCACTCGAGTAGAGCCTCATTTATCGCAATTAAAGCTGATCTATCGATGGTTGATTTGTCGACTGGTCGATTACAACTCAGCTTGGTCGAGTCTACGTGACAGAATAAAGAAAAACGGTAGCGAATTTGCAACCCACGTTTAGAGTATATTTCTTGTTATCCAACAAACACATTTATAATCGAAACACCCTGCTCTGCGAAGAACACCATCACATGGCTATCGTGGTGCACCGATCACACATATCCTCCGATGGCAAGAAGCGTTCTGAGTGAATCCACGTGGCACGAAGGTAGGCCACCTCAGACAGAGAAGGAAGGGTCCGAGGCAGCGTCCCGGTGGCCACTTTGGCACGTGTACGATATTTAGAAGAATCCTGGGCGAAGATATCCTCAAGGGCGCCCTCATCCTATGCATGGCCTTAACCCTTATCGTCGTTCAGGATTCTTCGTGAATGAATGGATCGACCCAGACCGCTCCTTGCCATTTGGAGACGAATGACTAGCCTTCATTGCAGAATAAATACAGACATATTATCACATACGTGGTATCGTTACACAATAAATATCTACGAAGATGAAACACACGATTGGCGTGATCTGAATCGTTGTCAATGGCTAGCAGAAGTCGTTATCCGTGGGATCATTTGGGTATTTTCTGTGGAACTGAATGCCACTCCAAATCCGGTGAAGTGATATTTCCGAATCAATTAATCACTTAATAACGACTAATTTTATTGTCTAGTAAGATCAAATTCAAAAACATTTAAATGCTATTTCTACATCAAAACGTAAGGCTATGATACGCATAGGCTTTTTGCTCTTTATGCATTCTAGAATCCTGAACAAAGACGGAAAGTGTTCAGTACCGAGACTAAAGACACTTGGATAAAGAAGGCAACTAACAATAATTGTTCTTTAGCATGACAATAGGTCTCTGTGAAGAACTTGGTCTATCTTTACGGGCCAGTTATGCCATGTTGAAGAGCATATCCTCTTCATCACTAAGCGCCTCATCTGGCTGTCCACCCTTCGCCTTTCCATCACTCTTGGGCTCCTGTTCAGCCCCTCCATCTCTCTTCTCTTCGGCATCTTCTTCTCTGTCCTTCTTCTCCTCTCCCTCTCTTCTTTCCTTCTCCTTTCGCTCATCCTTATCGCCATTCTTATCCTTCTTCTGCCGTCGCCGCCGACGGTTCTCACTACTCAGAGGTCGGTAACCGAACAGATCTTCCTTCGTCTCTGGAACGGCACCTGCTCTGGTGCGGCGAGCTCGAACCCGCTGCTGTTGGCGGGCTTCGGAGTCGACCAGGCCGGTTTCCTCGGCCACCCAGCGCACCTTGCCAACGATCTGGTCCTGCATCATCTGGATGCACATGCTGATCAGCGACATACCTGTGGACGGTGGGCAGATATGTCTGTTACCTATGTGGGGAAGAAAGGAAAACAAACTCAGGAGCGTCTATTCGCTGGGGTGGGGTGGAGAATCGTCCAATTTGTTAAATTTGTTAAATTTCTCAAAATTGTAAATTTCGTAAAATCGTAAAGTGAAACTTTGCCGTTTAATACATTACTGTTGTCTTTATTGTTCTGATGGACGGACAGTTGGTTCTTTGTCGCACACAATTTCTCTTCAGATTAATAGCAGAATGTGGTGCTTACCGAAAAGGCAGTAGATGATCGTAACTCCCATCTTGAATGTTGCCATGTTTGAGTCATCCAGAAAGCTGAAAAAGAGAAGTGGTAAAACGAAACATTAAAACAAACTTTAAGGTACATTAACGTTTATATTTCAAAGGTTCTACAAACCAGCAAGAGTAAATCCGAAAATACATTTTACGAGTAAAATAAATGCGTTTCCCAATCGGATCATATGTTTTATTTTCTGGCTTGCCATTGCCTTCTAGCTCCAATAGAAGGATACCCGGCATCCTTCCTGGTAATATGCCAATATACCTGGCATAATGCCTGGTATTATGCCAAAACCTGTTCTCCTTCCCTACATATTCTTATGCAACAACGATTGATACTCCGCACCCTGACATTTTCTACCACAAAGAAGGCGGTTCATGTGGCTCGATTCTAGAAGTTCTTCCCGTCTCACCTGTTTCCGGGCACCATGTCGCCGAAGCCGATCGTGGTCAAGGTGACGAAGCTGAAGTATCCGGCAGAGCTCAGTGACCAGTCCTCCCAGTTGCTGAAGATAACGGCGCCCAGGATCAGGCACAGCGCTATCATTATCATGGTGATGACTATCGGCACTTGAACCTGTGGGAGGAGCAGCGGGTCGAGCAGGTCATCATCGATGGGACTCCGTGCGAACATAACACAGTTCGAAGACACATAACGAGATTAAAATCACCTACCTTTATATAACTATTCTATTTTAACATCTAAATGGGTAAGGATAGATAATTATTGTCGGTGCTGGTTTTAACCGATATGGCCTTTGATGTTAGAAAAAAGCCTGCAACGAGAAGCCGCGAATGGCTTTGAAAGTCCATGACAAGATCCGTCGAAAGCATTTGCGCCAATGAATTTTTTGCTAGTTTTGCATTATGATTGACTGTATCAGATACCTGGTCGGTAGGCATGTAGTCTTCTTTGCCAACATCGTCCTCCCAGAGACGCTTCCTGCGCTGTCCCATCCCCGCCTCGTTCTGGTATCGTCTGGTGCGGCACCAGCGGCATATGCAGCGACTGGAAACGGACACGGGGTCTCAGCGAACGAAGACGAAACCTCAGAGGACTACCACGAAATATCAGTAAACGAGCACTAAATATTTGTGAACAAGCACGAAATTTCAGTGAGCGAAGAACTTATCTCAGTGTACGACGACTAATTTTCACTAACATCTGACTGGTGTTGCTAGACATCCATCTGAGCTTTCAGCACCACCCGTGTGACCCGCAGGATCCCCATCGCCCGTCCACCGACCTGTAGATGTAGCGGAAGGAGTCCGACATGCCGGAGCCGATCCTGCCCAGGAAGACGAGCAGCAGCGGCGTCCCGATCATGGCGTATCCGATGGTGAACATCTGTCAGACAGCGTGCACATAGTGGTGGACACATTCCACGTGAAAGGGGATGCATCGGGCAATGAAGAGAAAGACTATGAACTTTCTGAAGTTTTGGCGATGCACCTCCACGCTTATCTTTCGTCGAAGACGAATTGCAGTAAAAAGTGTTACTAAGGATACATTCGGAGAAGATCCCTTCTTGCTCAAATCATTTTAGTTCCTACGAATCCTATTTCGTTTCAAAATTGCAGTGAAAAAATATGCAAAATATCCGCAGGGGACCTCCAATGAGAGCCGGAGCAACCGTCGACCAATCGAATTTGGAAGCACAACCGCCACTGCCTTGACGGTGACGGTCGAGCATCATTACATCATTGATGTTTCTCATTCTGCAGTTCTCACGTCTGAGGACTGCAAACGTGAGAAAGAGCAGTTCTCACGTCTACTCTTTAGAAGCAGACAGAGGCCATACCTGTCCCCCGAAGGTCCTGGGGAAGATGTGGCCGTAGCCGATGGTAGTCATGATACTGATGGTGAAGAGCAGTGACTTGGACAGAGTCCAGTCGTAGTTCCAGCCCTCCACGGTGCCGTCATAGTTGTAGGTCGTCACGGCGTCAGAGACAAACGTCTCCAGAACCTTCAGCTTCTTGTTCACCTGCGGTTTGGTCATGTTTGATGATAGGGTTATACGTCCTGCCGGCTGCTATTGCTGGGTTAGTTCGCTGTATTCAGTTTCCAGTTTTGCTTTGGCAGCGGTTGTTGCTTAGAACTTGGGTTATGCATTACAAAAAAGAAGTTTTTGATGTTTGTATTCCATGTCCTTTGTACCTATAGCTTCATCGTACTGTGCTGAGATTGGTTACATAAAATTTTCCTGCTTGAATGCTAACATTTATGCAGCTAAGTGAGGGTCTTCTAAGCAAAACGAAAACATCCTTTAGCTTTCAAAAGTTTTGCACTCATTCCTCATAACCGTAGAGCTCAGTAAGTAAGCATTTTTCGTTTTTTTGTCGGCACTGCGAGAGTCTCATCATCAGTAATGCTCTTGAATGTGCATGATTTACAGACCCAAATTCGCGATTTATCGAGATAGAACGACTACATTTATACTCAAAACTCAAAATCGTGTGCAGGAGTCATCAATATCATCGAGGTTTTTCACCCAGCCATGGTCCTATTCTTATAAAAGCACTGGCCGGTTGGATAAATATAGAAAACTGCACACACTTATCGACCTGAGCAACGTGCGTTTGTTATGTTGCACAGCAACGGAAACAACAGACATTATGCAAATTGCCTGTAACAACTCGGCCATAAAAACACCGACACATTAGCCATAATGAGCTGCACATCGTCAAAATCGAAAAGCGAATAACGAAAATGCCCAGGAGAATAAAAGCGTGATGGCTTAATATCATTTGTCAGTCTATAGCGGCACAGCGACGTCGACAATGCAATATATCCAATGCTGGTGGGCGGCACGTACAAAGGCTGGGTGACATTAGCAAAGCGAAGGCGGCCTTTCAGGTCGATGATAGACTTGCTGGTGAAAATAACCCTCGCGCCGTAACAGGCCCCTGCGTGATTAGGCCTATGTCGATGGGGGACAGCAACTGTTGTGCATTTGGTCGTTACGGATTCAGGGTCTTCGTGGCAAGGATCGGATCAATGGGTACCACCGATCTTCAGACATGTTATTGCGTTGAAGGGTAGAGCGTGGCCGCCTTAATTCAGGCATAATTCAGGAAAGTGCATCTATAGGTATTATAAGTTATAGCGTGCCCGTACGAAGTCCGTCCGTCCGTTATGCCTCAAATAGCTTATTACGCCGGAACGGCGCCCCTGACTCTTTGAAATTTGTGTGTAAATCTGTGGGTGGGGCGGGCTTAAAAAAGAACTTTGTAATTAAATGCTCCGTGACACGTTTTCAGTTTACATAATTTTTGGACAATTTAATACTATATGTGTCGAGGTGAATCATTTTAACGTAAACCAATATGGTAGCTCTTTCTTGCAGGACCACAACGGAGTTCGAATTTCATATTTTTCTTAGTCGTTGAAATATGCACTGGATTTTTTTTTTCTGACGAATTGCAAGGTTAAAGACAAGTGTCCTACTAAATACACCATACCTCTTTCTGCCACTTATCGAAGGTCATGTTGGGCTTGACTTGGTAATGCCAAAGGTACGACGATATGTAATTGTAGGCATCCGCCAGATCTTTGGCCTTGTTCTGCTTCATTAAGTAGCGATGGTGTTCGTTCTCCTTCTCCAGCTCCATGAAGGCAAGTGCTCCTGAAGACAAGCACGTATAGTCGTTTGGTATTGTTTGGTCGTTTAACTCCATCCACATTGACCTTTTCATTAGAAGCTAACGTATTTTGGCTGGAGGAGGACGACCCCCAGCATTTCGATAATCGATTCCTGATTGAGAAAGAACTTCGCGGAAAAGAACGAGCGTATGGTCCCTGAGAAGAGGAAGACATACACATTACACACTCGTAGTTACTAATCTTAATATCTTAGGACCTAGGTCATAAATAAACCCCAGGTCAGGTCAATGAGCCAAATCTGAGAAAGACTTAGGCCTGCTTAACCCTCTCAACATTATTTTTGTTTACCCTCGGAACTCTCATAACCAGAATAACCGTCGTATCTTCCGTAACCTTTAAGAAGCCCTCGTAATTTTCGTAACCTAAAAGTAACACTCGTAACTCCGGTAATACAAAGCATTTAGGCATTCGACTCCAACTTACCTAGCACAGCCACGGCAGAGACCAGGAGAAACAAACCGACATGACCGAACAGGAACTGCAAGATGAGCGTGCAAAGCGACTTCGGCTTCTCATGCACCTGGAAACAGATCGGAGATCATTGGGGAGCATTGATCATAGCTGATCTTTGCCAGTTCCACTATCTTTTGACAAAAACTGTCTTGATTGTGCAACGCGCATTCTCTTTCAATTGTCATCAGATGAAGTGTTTGGCGGCACGACATTGATTTACTGGATGTGTATTATGTGCACGATAAAGTTATGTTTCCTTAGTGACAGACTATGTAATCGTACAACTTTCGAGCACTTGTTTTCACCTTCTTCGCGAGGATGAAGCATCCAATATAAACACTTCTAGTTATTTTTCATAAATTAGGCACAAACAATGATATATGACAAAGGCATAATAATCACGTAACGAACAACAAATAAAATAAATAAAAAAGACATTAAGTGCTGCATTTATTCGCCACTTAACTGTTTCTATTCGATAGACAATGCTTATATCTAGCAACAAATATGAAGCGATTTGCGTTTTATCATGCCCTCAGTACCCTTTCTGTAACACTCATTTTCACGCAAATCTTTAGGATACGCGGCGGCTGGTTGTTCTGAAGTTGTAACTGCACAAGTCAGCATGGAGCTGTTAGGTTTCAGATGAGTGATGACATATAAGTAGGAACTGCTCCCTTCTTCTTTATTAGAAGCAATCATTCTCCTCGCTGCCGGTGACATCCACTGACTTCCTTTTACTGCCCACCCAACTATTCCTAACCGGTAACAAAGGCGGCAACAGACGCTTTGCGGACTTCCCGTGAATCGTACCGTGATTTTTCCTTCCTTTCCACCGTCCGCCCGTCTCACACTCACTCATCAGTTGTTCAATCTTACCAATCCTTTGCATACCATTGTGGTGGCACCTTCAGTTAGTCATTGTCAGGTGAGCACTGAGCAGTAACCAGGCGCAGCGCATATCCTGCCTGATGGAGATGTTGAGAGACGTCCAAATGAGACTGGATGGAGATGGATAGATTTGAGAGGTAAAATTCTTGAGAGTTGGTTCTTATATAGTTTGGCGGAAGAAGGACGAGACGAAAGTAGCGTCTATGTTGTCGAAAAGCGGTTGAATGATAGCTATTTCTATCTTGTAAACAGTGACTTACGTTTCTATGAACAACGAATCGTGGCTCAAGAATGCGTGATTGATAAAGGTAGGTATGTACCTAAAGATCATTTCCCCTTCCACTGAAAAAAAAAAATACTGACTGAACTCATTTTCAGCTGGTGGAATAAATCAGTGTGAGAGTCACTTCGCCAGCTGTTTTAATGTTGCTGCGGTCTCTTTTGATTTCTCGCTATGACAGAGTCGCATTACAGGGATAACAAAACATTTCGAAAAGTATATTTTCTCACCCCTGCTGCAGATTGCGATGACATTTTCGAAACTTCCTAGATGATTTGCTGTATACTTCGAAGTTCATACACCTAGACCTGTGAACAAAAATGTCAATTGTGAGATGATGTTTTTCGTACTCCAGCGTAGATGGGTAGCCATACGGCTTCCACGGTTGACAGTGATGACATCAGTCATCTTTTGCAAGCTCGTTAAAGATTTGGGCTGTACGGGAAGCCCAAATCTTTAACGAGCTTGCAAAAGATGACTGATGTCATCACTGTCAACCGTGGAGGCCGTATGGCTACCCATCTACGCTGGAGTACGAAAAACATCATCTCACGCTCTCAGTCCCAGCGGATAAAAACAACACCTAAGAAAAATGTCAATTGTCAGGTAAAAAGTAAATGAAAAAATAATCAATTACCTAATCATAAAATGCGCATGAGTTCGAGGAAAGGATCGCCTTTCAAACACCAAAATTCAAGCAATAACTGGGTAAAAATGATGGGAAAATAATAAATATACCTACCTTCTATAGATATATTTACTTTACACCTACAATTATTTCACAGCCTATTCCTACCACGGATGTGTTGATTTTTGTGCGCAAGCTGTTAAGCTTAAATAAAAGTTACCCCTCGAAAGCACTATTTGGGCCCTAAAAAAATGTCTTGTCACACACCCACCCTTCCTCCCCCGTCCCAAAAATGGACTCGTCCACTGACCTGACTGGCCTCGGGCGGCGGCTGGGTCGACTCCCCGGCACGGCCCATGACCCGGCGGCGTGGCCTGCGGACGGAGAGTGACCTCAGGGGTCCGACCGGGACCCGGGGCGCACCCAGCAGTGCTGCTTGTTGTGTGCGGTGACCATGGCGGCCACTGACAACACGCCACGTAACAGCCGATGTAAATCACCCGGGAGTGCAGCCGAACAAGGGAGAGGGGGCAAGAGGGGGGAGGGGAAGGAGCATCGTGATTGCAGGAACGGTGCCGCCTTCGGTCGAAGAGTTATGTGTGTGTGTGTAGGCGGTGCAACAAAGGCATAGTTGCAAAAGTTCGCCACACTTTGCCGCTGGAACACCGATTTGTCTAATCGATAAGGTTGACTAGCAAAACAAGGTATTTTGCTACGGTGTTATGCGGACAGAATAGCGAGAAAGGCTCACGGCTGGTCTTATATCGACGTGATAAAGGTGGTGATGGAAACGTAGCGACTACCTGTGGCTGCAGAGTGCAGACCATTCCGGATAGACAGACGACAGTTTTGTTATATGCTCAACAAAACAGTTACTTTAATTTGAAATTACATTCCAAAGGCCAAGAATTCCAAGTAACCATTAAAAAAGCGCAAGCTTAAGGTAAATATTGATTCCTGGACATTTTTAATAGCATGCAATCAGCGACGAAGATCTGATGTCGCAATTCACCAACATCTACCTATATTTATAGGAACAAGACTATGTGACGTCATTTTACAATGAAAATATTGGAATAGGCGGACCCAGGTACCTGAGAAAGGGGGGTAATCTCAATGTACTGCCCCCCGTCTTGGCGTGCCTGAATCCGCCTATGATTAACGAAAACGTGTATTTTGTGCTCACGTTGCATATTTTACATGATATATGACACATCATGTCATAAGACACATGACATACCATGACAAAAACTCAAACATCATCCCAAGTTAGCTTACCTGAACTGAATCCACCCATGATTTTTGAAATATCAAAAATACCGGAGCATGTATGAAGGCCCAGTTCATGAAGAAGGGTCTCCTAAAGCTTCATCAAAATGGAACAGAAAAGAAAGAAGTTATAGCATTTTTAGTGATGAGGTCTAAAATGTGAAATTTTTCGAAAGTTTTTGCTTCCAGCCAGGACCCCCAATTTTTAACTTTTCTGACTTATTATAGTAAGTCTGAAAGTTCACGATGAGAGTAATCGAATGGCGTTTGTCCCATTAAAGGTAGTGTGCCACCTTTGAAAGATTTCCCATTTTATTTTTCCTAGGATAGGAAGCTTCTGTTTTTACCTAATATCGCAAAGAAAATAAAAAATGGGCCTGGAATAGTGCCTTTTTCGCCTAAAAGTTTATCGGTTTTTCGATATGTATAACAACTGTAGTGGGCTGACCTGCAAACAGGCGTCGGCAACAATCGCGAATGCGGCGCACATGTGACAATAAGCAAAGGTCATTATAGAGTTACGACGTACGGGAATGAGTTATCAGCTGTCTAATCGTAGACAACACAATGTCGAGCCTTAAACTGTAAGCCTGTATTGGTATTGTTTCTTTTATTTGGCTGTCGAACATTATTTATGGTTTGAAATATAATTTTATGTAAAATAATTGATATGAAAAAGCCGTCTCTTAACCCTATTCCTGGCGGGCTCCGCCGGGACAAGAAACTGGCGGGGGGGGCCGATTCGGCCCCCCCCCCTGAGATCTCGAGAACGAAGCAAGATAGCGACAAGCGGTAAACGGCATCGGATACGCACGGCCAAGATCTACAATTTTTACAAAGGTCATTTTCAGGTCAGGTCAAAGATGACGTCACAGGGGTCGAAAAAGTCAAAATGGCGGCGCTAGATATGGAGAAAGTTTTTCTCGAATACCTTTCGAATTAGTCAAGATAGGAACAAACTAAAGGCATCATCGTGATCCTCTCGTCAATCCGCATCGAATGATATATATGTTGACCTCGAAAGGTCAAGGTCAAAGGTTGACCTCAGGTCACGTGACCTCGAGGTCATCATGTATATCATTCGATGCGTCTTGACGAGCTGAACACAATGAGACCATCCACGCGTCTGTATCTTGTTCCTGTACGGAGTTATTGGCCAAAAACCTTTGGTGACCTTTGATGACGTCACATGACCTCACAGCTGCCCAACAGCAAAACAGACCTCAAGGTAGTGAAGGTTGATCGTATATGAAGTCATGTATGGTATATGGGGCCATTCCGACCCGTTTTAGTGGTAAAAACAGGGAGTTGATTTTTCCCCCATTGACTTATAATGGGGAGGTCGCGAAATTGACCTGACCTTAGGTCACCGATATCAAAATTCCGAGATATACAAATTGCACATACTGGTACCCTAACTAAACCCTGAAGAGAAGAAATTGATCGGTCAAAAACTCTAGCTCTGGCGTGATTGCAAACTTTTCTGAGGTAGCGTCACCAAACCGCCTCTGGTGACCTGACCTGAGGTCAGATCAACTCAAAATTTTCAGACATGTTGCGTAGAAGCCTTTTAGGAAAAGTCAGAAAATTTGAGCTTCCTAGCTCAACGCGTTTGGGAGATATAACCAAAAAACCTCAGGGGGGGGGGCTCCTGAGGCCCCCCCGCCAGGAATAGGGTTAAGTTATGACCCCATTCCACCACACGCAAGTGGCAGAAATGACAATGATCAGCTGACGCATTTTTCTTGGCCGAAGTCAGAGCGCGCGGCCCGACGCACCACCACCGCACCACAAAGTATGAGCAGAAGCCGCGCCCAAAGCCAGGGCCCCGGTAACGTGAGGTAGCCGAGTCGGGGCAGCGTGCGCTGACCCAAGCCAGGGCCGCAGCTTTGGGCGCGGTCTACCGCATCCCCGCGGGCAGCCCCGGGCTATCACATGACACGGGGAGGACGCGCGGCCCCGGCTTGGGTCAGCGCACGCTGCCCCGACTCGGCTACCTCACGTTACCGGGGCCCTGGCTTTGGGCGCGGTCTACCGCACCACCTAACAGGCGTGTTCGAAACCGCAGGAGATGATGATGAACGGGTTTATCGAAACTTGATTGGATGAGCAATCGGTAATAGCGATTTCAGTGTGTGCATTTATTGTTCATAGTGGTGTGAAATGTGGTTGGGGTACGACCGACAACCCGTCGGGGCGAATTTCGCACTGGGGTACTCAAAATTTGAAGAATGTAAGACGTTTCCATGAGTTTTGAAGGTATGGATAAGATCTAAAAATCCGGTTCTCCTTATCTGGGCCATTAACGCTATACGGTCCAGGAAAGCTGGCACACTACCTTTAAGATCAGACATCTAGTTTTCGAGATATCAAGGGTTGCCGAATCGGCCCCCTCCACCAGTCAAAGTAGTCCAGAGAGCCCACCAGTAATAGGGTACAGACTTGACCCCAGATGACGTCACGGGCTGACGTGACGCTCAGGTAAAATCGCCAGACGACCCTACCTGGTATACAGGGCCTTGCTTATAAGGGTGAATGCATATTATATTGCATAAGGTAAGTCAGTGCAAGCCAAATACTACCTAGCGGGCGAGTGCCTAACTAAAGCTTTTGAAAAGCTGCCGGTGAGGGCGCGCTCATCGCTAGGAAGGCAATGGGCCTGCCCGTAGCCCCTGACATGTTCGTAAGCCCGGAATCGGTCAGTGACTAAGTCGCGTGGGAACTTCTTCAAGACTGGGGGGGGGGGGGCTGAACCATAATAGAGATCAACCTGACCCCATGAAAAGTTGTGGGGCACCGCCCCCACGGCCCCAGAGTTGTGGGGGCAAGCTTCCCCCACTGCCCCCTCCCCCGGTTCCCGCGCCTATGTATGAATCTATGAAATTATGTTGGTAGATTTCCGATTTTGATTCCTCCAGCTGGGGGGGGGGGGTCAAATCCATTACGAGCTCCCCCCAGCCGAAAAGCTGGAGGGGCTCAGCCCCCGCTAGCCCCCCCCCCCCCCCGGTTCCCGCACCACTGTTTACCATAGACTAATCTAATGTTAGTACTATGGTGTAACGTATGGTGTCGTAGACTATATATTCCGTGGTATGGTTTTACATCAAGGTGACCGTCGTCAGACTTGGCGGTTTTTTAGATACGCTTCAAGGTAAAGTTTGTTGGAAACCCGGTCATTTCGTTTTCACAGATCCACAACACAATAAGTCAATAAGTCGACTTTTTGAGTGTACTACCTATGTGGAGGCTGGTATCATGTTGGCTGTTGATAGACTTAGAGCATGGCACTTTGCAACGACAGCATTAAATGCGTTTCATTTGGTTTCTGCTGGCCTAAGGAGTCAGCTGGCTGGCCAGCTGACCGTCGGACGGTTTTATGGAAGCTCCGTATTTGCTCTGGATTCATTTCAGTTTTTGGGAGTTTTAATTATTATTGTTGGTCTCAGTCGACTTCTGGAAGAACGGTTTCCCGGAGGAAGCAAGATTGTGTCCCCGATTGATACGTAAGAGTTTCAATGTTGTTCTGAAATATGTTGGAATTTTCGGGACTGATTGATTTTTGATGCTATCCGATTGAAGTCGAGATCAAGAATAACACCTAGATATTTCGATTCGTTCTCACGGAACGTGACGTTGTGAGCCTAGCGCCTGCTACCTGCCGATTAGCTTCGGCCCCTGGTGTGGCTCCTGATGGCGTTGATAATAAATGAGCTCTTATGCTATATGATCTGCAAAATTGATTGTGTTCCCATTGACGTTCTTGTCAAGCTAGTTGGTGAGAATTTTACGGATGATGAAGTGGAGGCAGCCAAGAGCCTTCTCTCTGATTATGTTGATGAGTCAATTAGAGCTGGTAATCGGCGTGGCCAGAACAAAAAGAAGATGAATTTGGATGGAATCGCAAAAATGCTTATTGAATGTGACAGAGCTCAACTTCCGAAATTTGTCGCTCTGGACTTAGCCAAACTGACTCCCATTACAGTTGACTGCATTGATGTCAGTGCTCTGATGCGCAAACAACAGCTAATGGATATTGAGCTCACTACGATGAAGGATATGATCTTAAGGTCACAGCGGACACCTCTGAGAAGGTCGAGAAGGCTGTTGCCAGCCAGCCTGCGCCAACCACTCAGGTTGAGTGTGATGCTGCCGCCCAGTCTGG